TTTCTCCCTGAAGTCTGCCAATTGATTGGCAAAATGGCAGTTTTCGATAGAAATATTTTGAGAAACATGATTATTAAGATTTGTTTAGCACAAGTGTTTACAATCTCCTGACAAGTTGCTAACTTGACTTGAATAAATCTAAAATTGAATCTAGAGTTCTCAAATTTAATCCCTTTCTAAGGTTCTGAATCCACTCGTCCACGATACGGGGATCTCCCTGCCCGGAGAATTTCTCAGCATGATAGTCGCGGAACGGTGCGACTACTGTGGCCTGAGTAAGAGCCGCGTGATCGAGTTACCTACGGGGCGACATCTGAATATTGAGAAAGTTCGAAATTATCGAACACGTGATAATATTCTGACTGATTATTAAGGCACACAAATCTCTTGACGAGTTGCCAAAAAAATGGCTGATAAATATGAATACTGAGGAACTCTAGAGTCATATCGGAAGATACTGAATTCTAGAGTCATATCCGAATATACTGAATTCTAAAGTCTGATCCTGATTCGAGCATCTTAACTAAGTCCTGATTCATAATTTCTGAGCATAGACAAAGTAATATGTTTATAACTGAAAACATAAATCAGCACTTACCTGTAGTCGGCGAGGCGTGAGCGTGACGGTTCAGGTTTTTCTGAAAATTACTGACTGAAAAACTTTTCAGAGACGCAGAAACGTGCTCTGATACCAATTGTAACACCCCGCCTTATCGTGAAATCAGAGTGCATAAATTTCGCAAAGTTATTTACAAATAAAATCTTTTACTTTGCGAAAACTAATTCGGGGTGCTACCGTAAAACGTGACTTATTCTGAGAAATCGTTATTTTAATCTTTAACAAAATTTACGGTTTACTGAAAACATTAATTATCTGAGAGTCTGTTCAAAAGATAAGTTTGTCAAAATCAAAATCAGCGAAAACGTAGTATCATCAAAATATATACAATGACATGCATAAAAGTCCTGAAGCATCCGTCATCTCACGCTCCCGGCCCGACATCCTGATCTGAAAAACATGATAAGTGGGTCGTCAGCACTATAACATTGTGCTCCGTGGAAACTCATACTAATATAAACACTGAATATAATAACAATATCATGATCTTGGCATATACGTAACCTGAACATGAAACTGGTAATAACATGAACATAAATCTGATATCATTACGTGAACGTAAACCATGACCGTTACCTCATCTGCCGGCACAAACTAATACCGGACACCATGTGCACACTCTAGTGGGCAGACAAGGCCACTAGAACCCAGAATGGACCGGCGACCATTCCGAGAGGATACATGACATGAAATACATACCTCAAACATGGTACCGTAATTATAATCAATGTAGTACTTAGTCTGAGTCCCCACCTGATCCGTGAAACTGAAGGTAGTGCTGATGCCTGATCAAACTGAAATATAATATAAACAATTACTACTGACTATGCTCAGACTGATAAATTAACTAATTAACTTTGTTAAGATGCTCTACTGATCGTGACATAATATTTGGACTTAACCGGTATAAGTGGAACCGGTTAAATACGGAACTGAACTGATATTAATTAACTGAACTGAACGAGACCTGGAATTTTAACTGAAAATAACACTGAAATCATGAACCGGGACTGAAACTGAAGAATACTGACTGAACTGGTCCAGCCGGTCTGAACCGGTCTGGACCGGACTGCTGGTCCACTGAACCGGGCATTCGGGTGCTGGCTCGGCCAGCGGCCTGCTAAGTGCTGCGCACACGGGCGCTGCCTGGCCTGGCCACTAGCGCTGGCTGACTGGCTGGCTGGCCGTGCGGACTGCG